CATCTAGTCTGTGGCAACGGTCCCTGTCTGGGTCAAATTATGCAGTCATTTAACTTCTGCTATTTAGCAGTACTTACAGCTTTACGCTGGAAGGCAATACCCACAATAAGTTCTGCTGTTTTTTGACTTCCCCTGTGAACTAAAGGAACTCGGTATTTGGTAACCTTCTGCCACAGTTATACTTGGTCACCAGGACCTCAATGACCTGCATGGTTGCTAAAGGGGCCGAGCCTGTGGTATACAGAGACCGGACGAAATTCTCCCTCCACAGTGGCGACAACTTCATATATGAGAGCGCGCCTGGTAGCAGTCTGAAATTCGTCAATAAAAGCCTGTTTCCGCATAGAGTCAACATTCCGCGCTGGGGCGTAGGACGTAAGAATTACAATGTTGCCAACACCAATACGAAGACCCATAAACACAGTCGTCGGCGAAACTGTTTTTTAGCGCGCAGGTGGTTTTCGCTTACTCACTGCCAACTGTGAGTCGTATATACGTAGGTTTCGACGGAACCTGCAGCAAGGATCGATATTCGTGACAAAAAAGGCTTGAATATGATGCAGATTAAGCGGTTTGGTACAAGTCAAGCCGCCTTAACGTCAGGTCTACCTCTGTTCGGACGCTCAGGCCTCAGGGCATTGATCATCGGGCGAATCTAGTTAATAACCGCTCGGGCTCGTCATGTCCCGGTGCTGTCGTTAGTCTGTAGCATTTAACAGATTGTCGATTGCCAAAACTCAATCGTCCGATTCTGTTGGCAGTGCTGCTGCTGATATGTGACTGATTCTTTGATAGACCCAGCGGTTTTTCTACTTCATACATAGTCTTCAGTGGGAACTTTTTTCGATATCCGCCATCTGTGGACGCACCAGATAGTCAGCGGCTAGATTACCTGAGGTTAACGTTTCAGCCTAAGTACTTATTTCCGAAAAGAGGTCTGGGGATAAACTGGTTAACCTACCTAATATTACCGATAAGGCTTGTTTTGCAAAAATTTGAAACACTTTAAAACAGACGAAATAGACTGCTGAGAAAAGCAACAGGTCATTCTTGGGGTAAATTATACTATTCGATGTTGCATCCTCAGTGGTCAGAGTGGGATCCGGTCGACCTTATCTTATTAGTATGTTACGTTGTTTGAGTTCCAGGATTAACCACAGAAGCATTTCAATGGTAGTCAAAACAATAACGCTAACAAAACTTTCAATTACAAGCGAAGAATGTGAACGAGAGGACACGAAAAGCCTACGTCTAATGCACAAGTTCGATAGATCAGAGGGAAACTTCAATCAAACTGAACAGGGTTCTCTAAGTAGAGCTGCTTAGGGAGATTGTAAGCCATAGTTAGCGCAGGTGTCTTCAACTAGTCTGTAATTATTAAGGGTGCTCACATAAATTCTAACACACTCAGTACTATCGCTCATAAGTAGTTCCTCTCACAGCCCGCGTCCCGCACGAAACCGAGCTCCACCGACAGCTACTTTACTCCATTAAGCTCGACAGCCCCGTCGTGAGAATTGTGTGAAAAACCCTTCTCTGGATGAGTAAGGTTCAGTCGGGCAATGAATGTACTCAGTGGAAGTATTAGTCCATGCATATACTATGAGGGCGAGTGGAACCGTGGGAATTAACTCTTAAAACAAGGTGCACAATCGGAAAAAACCAGTATGCAACCCAAAAATACTCGGATTTAAACCAAAACTACTTGTGGGACTAAGGAAAGGCGAAGATAAACATAAATAAGGTCAGGAAATTTTTCTATGACAAACCAACAGAGGGGGGACTGACGTGGATTAAGATCGCCGTTGGGTGCTTCTGGAGCTAATGACTGTTCGTAAAGCTTTTTAAAGCTGTTGAAATTTTCTGACGAACTCAGTTGGTCGCAGAGGTTCCCATAAAAAGTTCTGGTTTTCACTTCCCAGGATTCCAGCAAACGACAAAGGCACCCATCGTCTCCTGACTTTATTTCCTCGTAGATAGATTCCATGTAAAGCTTTGGTTGATTTGTTAGAAAACCGGGTACCGGCACCCGATTTCTCGTGAGCGACAGTTGCACACAAGATTCGAATTGTTGGAGTCCGGCTCAGGGACGACTAAGGTAATAACTCTGGAACAGGTACACAAGTTTGTTTATTCCGGAGTAGTAGACCGCCTTTCTTAAAATACCTGTGGCGCATCGTATTTCCGTTTAGTACGCAAGTGTTTCATTAGAACTTTGAAGTGATATGGCTAGTTATGGGACAGCAAACAAAGGGAATCATCACTATTCCATCACTCAAAAAAGTAAATAGTAGGCTTGTAGCAGCCACTGAAGTTCCCCTTTTCTCCGGCTCCGCTTTTTCGGTAGATGGCCGCGACAATCGTTGACGGGCCGTTGACACACGACTACCTCCGCTGGCTAGAACTGGGGCTTCTCCTGTCCTGCAGCAGTGACTCCCGGCTGCCCTCACAAACTATTATCACCTCACCCGCGTCGGACGACCTGGCTTGATACCCGTGAACCCCTGTGATTATGCGCTTCCCCCATCCTTCCCTAATCCGTCCAACCACATGACCAGCACTCAGCCAGTCACCCCACCTACTGACACAGACTTCATCCCCGCGTAAACTACACACCGCGACTGACACTCTCCGTGGACGTACACTTATCTCTGTCGCAGGCAAGCAGCGAACTTACGGCAGAATAAACTGTTCCTCACAGCTCTTTGACTGCTGACATTAGACGAAACAAACTTATTGTGGGTGGTTTAAATTGATCTCACATCAATGACCGTCAAAAATTGGTGACTCCGAATTTCGGAACACTGGAATTCTGCAAGCTTTTCGTCCACAACAATCTTCCGGCGACCCACAGCGTGATGTCCCAAGACCATAAGTCACTCATCAACCCAAATTCTCAAGGAACTAACGTACTCTCGGGTTTAAACCAGTCCAACCCGAGAGGTGGGAGAGAATCATTTGGAAAGGGGACTATTCTCTCATGAGGAGGGAAGCGGTAGCTATATCATGGGAGACTGAACTGCATGGTCGAGCAAACGTCAATTGGAATACTTTCGGTTCCTTACTGAAAGAGATTGCTTATTCCAATTGTCCTCTCAGAAGAAAGGCAATCACAAACCGCCCAAAATGGATAAACCCGGACTTGAAGGCCTCTTTCAGAAAAAGGAATCGTCTGTGGAGGCGTTACAGACTAACCGGCTCCGAAGAACACTTACAGGACTATAAGCGGCAACGAAACGTCTGTAACAGTGAGGCCTCAAAGCTGCGAAAGAAGTTTGAACTGAACATACTCCGAAATTTGTTGAAGCATCCGAAAATTCTATATCGTTATGTACGAAGTACTAAAAGCACTCAGAAGCTGATCCCTGCCCTTAGGTCTGCAGATGGAAAAGTGGAGATTGATGACCAGGTTAAAGTGTCCCTCCTTTCCGACTTCATTCAGCCCGTCTTCACCCGAGAACCTAGTGCTATATTTGCCCATCCATCCATTCGCCAACCAACCTCTCCTCCCAGTATCCTTCCCCATCCTATCCCCTCCCTACCCTCCTTAACCGAGGAACCACTCTTTTCATCTACCATAGTTAGGGCCGAGCTACTCCGGCTGAAACCTGCCAAATCGCCTGGCCCAGATAGAATTCCCGCCCAAGCACTTCGTGAACTTGCTAATGAACTGTGCAAACCCTTATCCGCAATATTTCAAAAGTCATTTGAAGACGGCGAGCTACCGGAAGAATGGAAGTGCGCACTCATTACTCCGATCCATAAAGGAGGCTCGAGACTTGACCGCGGTAATTATCGTCCTGTCAGTCTTACTTGCATCGCGTGTAAAATAATGGAACGCATTATCAAAAGACACTTGATGAAATACCTGGAACAGAACAAAATATTGTGCGATGCCCAAAACGGCTTTCGTCCAGGGCGCTACTGCCTAACGAGTATTCTTTACTTGCACGAGAAATGGATACGAGCTACCGATAAGGGTTTTCCAGTGGATGTCATATTTTTTGACTTCAAGAAGGACTTTGACAGGCTTCTTTTACAGAAGATCTGGGATGTAGGAATTCAAGGAAGAATGTTTAAGTGGATCAGGAGTTTTCTGTCCTCCAGACTACAAAGAGTCGTCGTTAGTAATTCTACCTCGGAATGGGTAAAGGTGGAAAGTGGTGTCCCGCAGGGTTCTGTCTTAGGTCGAGTACTCTTCCTGATTTATGTTAATGACTGTATCAGCGAAGTGAATTTCGAGGCTCTCATTTTCGCGGATGACA